ATCCAACTATTACTCTGGCTTAATCATCTCCAATGAAGGAAACAACAAAACACTGTTCTCACTGCTAAATAAAATTCTACAGCCACCAAACTCCCTACCCCCCTTCTTGTTTTCAATTCCAAATTCTGGAAAAAATAGTCGCCACCCAGCTACAGTCTCACTTAAATCAAAATAGCCTCTATGAACCCTTCCAGTCCAGTTTCCGCCCCCGTCACAGTACAGAAACTGTGCTACTAAAGATCACCAACGATCTCCTCATTGCTTCTGACTCTGGCTTACTTTCCATCCTCATCCTTCTTGACTTGAGTGCAGCCTTTGACACTATCTCACACCCCATCCTCCTCAGTAGACTCTCCTCCCTTGGCATCACTCACACCCCATACAGCCTTTCATCCTTGTCCACAGCCTCGTCACCTCCCATATTGATTATTGCAATTCTCTCCTCTTCGGCCTCCCTCACAAGTCCCTCCATAAGCTCCAACTGGTTCAAAACTCTGCTGCCCGTATTGTCACCAAAACCCTCTCATACCATCTCATCACCCCCATCCTACAGCAACTACACCCCCCCCCCCCCCCCCCCCGTGAAGCAAAGAATCATCTTCAAACTCCTCCTCTACACCTTCAAGGCCATCCACAACCTCGCCCCTCCATATCTGTCTGACCTCCTTCACATCGCCACTCCAGCCTGCTCCCTCAGATCCTCCTCCTCCATCCCCCTCACCGTGCCCTTTGCCCGCCTCACCACCATGGGGGGCAGAGCTTTCAGCTGCTCTGGAACTCTCTGCCACCTGACATACACAACATTGACTCTCTCCCCATCTTCAAATCCAGACTCAAAACCCATCTGTTCAAGATCGCCTACCTAACATTTTAACTGCAATTACACTGTCCTACATTTCATTTCTGTTATTGTATGCTGATTTTATCCATCGTTGTTTTTTAAATGTTGATTGTTGTGCAGTGTCCTTGTGTGTCTTGAAAGGCGCTTATAAATAAAATGTATAATTATTATTATTTCACTCACTACACATCTTACTGATTGGACCTTTAAGTTACATGTGCGCCTTTAGTTTTTGAAGTGTCTTTGCAAAAATTGTCAGTTACCAACACATATCCTGGCGTTTGATTACACTTAGAAAAAAAAAACAATTCTTCACATGATATAATTTCATACAGCCCACACAGGTGATTAGATCATTAACCATTTTATACATTTTATGCTCTACAAATCGTGTAGTTGTTACTTTTAAGTACAACAGTAAGCTTTTAACTTCTGTATTTTGATGTGTCAGTTTGACCTTTTAAGTATGTTTAATAAGGTGATGCATTTAATTAGGGTTAGAGAAGGGGGGCTTTGTTGAAAACATGTTCTCTGTTGTTCGGTGGCAGAGACAATGCAAAGCGGGGCCTCTTCTCACAAATGCAACCACCGCAAATCACCGTGTGTTGAGGGTCACTATGAATTGAAAGGTACACGGCGGGGATGGGATGGGGTGAGGAGGGGGGGGCTCTGCTCCATGTTGCTCTGTCAGGAGTTTGAACAATGGGGTCATGTATCCTATGGCTGCGAGGTCAGGTATAAAAGCAGCAGGGGGACATGGAGGAGATTGTGCAGTCTTTTAGAGCCAACACATCAGTAACTGTAACCATGACCATGGGAAAGGTGTGTACGGCTCCAGCTTGTTTAATGTTAAATGTTTTATTCTGATTGGAGCTGAAGATGGTAAAACAACAAACCCATCTGTGTGGTATGATCATAACAGGTTATTTTTTTACTTTCAGATCATCTTCTACGAGGACAGGAACTTCCAGGGTCGTTCCTATGAGACCAGCAGCGACTGCCCTGACATGTCCTCCTACCTGAGCAGGTGCCACTCCTGCAAGGTGGAGAGCGGCTGCTTCATGGTCTACGACCGCACTAACTTCATGGGAAACCAGTTCTTTGTCAGGAGGGGCGAGTACTCTGACTACCAGCGTTTGGGCATGAGCGATTGCATCAGGTCCTGCCGCATGATTCCCATGGTAGGCTAACTCTCTTTGCTACTGTGTGTTGATATAATTCCATACTATGATGAATGAAAAGACGTGACATATGTTTCCCTATTTGAATAAACAGCACAGGGTCAGTTCAGGATGAAGATCTACGAGAGGGAGAACTTCGGCGGTCAGATGAACGAGGTGATGGACGACTGTGACAACATCCAGGAGCGTCACCGCATGTCCGAGTGCCAGTCCTGCAACGTGATGGACGGCCACTGGCTGATGTACGAGCAGCCCCACTTCAGAGGCAAGCAGATGTACCTGAGGCCCGGAGAGTACAGGAGCTTCAGGGACATGGGCATGAGCGGCTCCAGGTTCCAGAGCATGAAGCGCATCGTGGATTCCTGTTATTAGAGCACCAGTGTATGAGCGAAATTTTGAATAAAATTTTGTGATTCTCTTTTAATGACGTTTTCTGTTACTACTTCCTGAGTTACTTTAAACTCACACAACAATCTTCATCTTAAAAAATCATGGCACAGTGTTTGATATGCATGGGACATTACAGATGTTTTGCTATTTAAAATATTCTTCATGAAGAACTGCAATGTAATGCAGCAAACGTTTGCTCCCACTAAATCTATTCTAATGTCAATATAACGGGTTTATTCTCTCAGATGTTTGAGGTACACATTAACACACAACACAAAATGTTAATGCAAGCTCATCTTTAAAGGTACAGTCAGTGAGTGTAGGGAGTGAAATGATGAAGTGACCTTACTATATGATCAGACATTAAGGAAACATGCTATGTTGCTGGCTTCTCTGACAACAATGCAGCAGCCAGTATGTCCTCCTTCTAACTTTAGATTCTGGTCCTGAATGCTCTGGATTTGTTTAGACCAGAGAAGGTAGGCGGTTTTAAGGCACCCCCACACGGCCATTTTGGACACCCCTCGGTCTGCCAGATAAGAGACAGTTATTAAGTCAAACCAACAGGTGTTGCAGCGATGGAAGCGATCAAGAGAAGTGGTTCAGATAGAAGTGATTGTACCCGACCTAAAAAGCCTCAGCATGTTTCTAATAAGCTTCACGAGCAGAAACGTGCTCAAACTAGGATCAATATTGGAGATGCTTTCGAAAAAAGGAGAGAGGTTAGAACGCAGAAAGGTTTACAGACCGATGCAGAGCTGGCTAAACACTGAAGCTTCAGTGTCCACCATATGGCAACCTGCGTGAGCATCGACTCTAGAGTGGAGGGGGTGAGGGGAGACAGCTCTTTACAACGTTTAGAATTTGGATTGCAGTACCCATTTTACTGCCACACTAGGGGTCAAAGTTACATACTACTTCTATAAGAGTATCCATCTGAAAAGCCCTAACATCAGACCTGAGGAAGAAAATATGTTTCCCAACGAGCTAAAGCATCCGAGTATAATTTACATGACGCTTTTTTCACAGCAGCACATGAGAAAAATGAATATTTGCTAAGGTAATAATTGTGATAGAGGAGGATGTTGTCAGTTGGCTGGTCTGGAAGGTCGGACTGACTGCCGGGCAGAGTGAGACTCAGGAGGGGGGTTCCATCTCAAGCGTAATTCTGCCCAAACTGATCTCGGCCCAGACTGTAGAATTATGCTGCGTTTCAGTTGATCTCGGAAGTCGGAAATTCCGAGTTGCCGGTCTGATACGTGATCAGGAACACCCCCTTAAGTCGGAATTCCGATTCAGAACTCTTCAGTAGCCCGAGTTCAATTCCAATATGGCTGCTACGTGCATCTAAAGGGATGTTTAAGCTGTAACTGTTGAGTTTATTAGCAGTTTAGTCGTTTTTTTGTGTAATTAAATCAATTACACCGATGGTATCGTGCAAGTTCTCTCTGTGGAGGTGATTTCATGTTATTTTCGAAACTATCACATAGTGTGTTGTTATCGTCTGGTATTAGCTAACAAAACAAAGGTACTCCCAAAGGCGTCCATGTGCTTTTCCGACTTGCAACTGGAACGCTGTCAACTCGGGTGTGACGTCATTCCCAGTTTCGAGATCTGAGTTCCGAGGTTAATGGAACGCAGCATTTGACAAACGAGATGAAGGTGAATGGATGAGAGGAAGGGAAGGAGGGTGGGTTGTCCAAGAACGGGTACAAACAGGGTGTAGTGGGATGGTCGGTATAAGTCGGCTTGTCAGGTGATTGGAGGTGTGGTTTGGGCGTAGTCCTGCTCCCGATCCAAAGTTAATATATATTTACTTCATTTGCTGAATTTATAAATTACATTCACTGCTGCATATTAGTACATTTCCTATTAGCTAATAACTAGCTAGCCGGTGAAACTATCCCTTCGCATACAGTGCTGAAACATCGCTGTGACACTCTAGGATTGTGGGTAGTGTAATTATTTTGTCGTAATTATTTTATGTCGTGAATTAAGATTGTTTCTCTTACAGCGAGATTGCTATCAGAGGGACTTGTTTCTCCTGCAGGAGCATAAAACGTTGTTTTAGGCTCAGTAGCTTGGGTCAGTCTACCTGTGATGGTTATGACATCATGGCTAACAATCAAATCCACCATGCAGACAGTGAACAACACTGTTGAGCCTTTTGCTTGTTATTGTATCAAATGTCTACAAACTTTAAACTGGATTTGAAAGAAAACAGTGACTTAAATTCCTTTTTGTGTTCTGATACTTGTTGATGGGATTTAGCCACTCATGTCAACGGTTAACCACAAACCACCAAAAGAAACATCTGCTCGACACACATGGTTATGAATTACATGTCATCTTTATTCACTTAGGTCAAAAACAGAAGTCTAGCACATGTCAGTGATACGCCTCATGCTTTGGAACCTGGTGCCGCTCATGCCCATGTTCATGAAGCTCCTGTACTCTCCGGGCCTCAGGTAAATCATCCTGCCTCTGAAGTGGGGCTGCTCGTACATCAGCCAGTGGCCATCCATCACGTTGCAGGACTGGCACTCGGACATGCGGTAACGCTCCATGATGTTGTCACAGTCGTCCATCAGCTCGTTCATCTGACCACCGAAGTTCTCCCTCTCGTAGATCCTCATCCTGAACTGACCTCTGTGCTGTAATCGAATGCGGAGAAGATGTCAGTATCATTTGCATACTATAAGTCAAGCCACTTTAAACCTATTAAATAATTTTGAAGATGAGATGACTTACGAAGGGGATCATCCTGCAGGATCTGATGTTGTCGAACATCATGCCCATGCTCATCATGCGCTGCATGTCGTTGTACTCGCCCCTCCTCATGAAGAACTGCATGCCCATGAAGTTGGGGCGCTCGTAGACCATGAAGCAGCCGCTCTCCACCCTGCAGGACTGGCACCTGCTCAGGTAGGAGGACACGTCGGAGCAGTCGCTCATGCACTCATAGGAGCGACCCTGGAAGTTCCTCTCCTCGTAGAAGATGATCTGAAAATAAACATTTTACAGAGAAATGTTAGTTTTGCTATTTAACCGTGACTTTGGATGAATCATATTTGTGTAATAACCTTTTTTATGATGTAAAAACATCAGTAAATATTTTGTTACCTTGCCCATGATGGTGGTTTAGGTGGTTCCCAGTGGATGGTAAAACTTGCTCTGCCTACTCCATGATTCAGGAGGCTTTTTATACAGAAGCCCGGGGGCCATGATGTGTTGTTATTCAAATGTGCAAAGCTGATGAATTAGCAGTATGACTTTTGCTGAACGGGGGGCCTATGATAAACAATGGATCTCTATCCATACATTTCTGGCAGCGTGGTCCGTATTGTCTATTGAAAGCATACGCTTTGTCTGTGTCCCATTCTCAGTCAGAAGGTTCTCCGCATATGGTCCGATCAGGAGCGATCAAAGAGACCGGCATCGGGACACACACCCAGGTCGAACCCAGAACCTGCATGGGCTGAAGTTCACTTCTGTAAAGAATTTAAATCTGTTACTCTGCCTCAGTTGGATTATCGCGAAAGTTTACTGTCTAGTGAAAACAAATCCTCAAGTTTAATTCAATCACAAGTGCAGTTTGCAGGCGCCTGCTAACCTGCTATGATGTCGTCTAATTAACCTCTAACCTCTAACCTCTAACGCGATCAGCTGAATGGATCATTTTACAGGATGTGCACCATCAATTATACCTTTTTGATAAAGACAGAAAAAATATGAGAGCAGAGATTAATGAAACATACTCCTACACCTACAAAGATGTGCAATCGTTTCTGTTATTTTAGAATCAGAAGCAGCTTTATTGGCCAGGTATGCTCTCTCTCTCTCACACACACACACACACACACACACACACACACACACACACACTTTGACTTAGGTGAACTGAACTCTCTATGTAGAAAAAGTTAAACATTTCATATGAACATTAAACACAAAATAAAAGACAATAGGGAAGTGGTGAGGAGTGCAAATGTGATAATAAAATATGAAGTAATGTGACAGATGGTCAATTAAGAAACACAATAAGGACAGCACTCGAAGCAGGATTATCTCCGAGAGAAAAAGTGAGAAAATGTTTTTCTTGTTTGAACATTTTTGGGGATTCAGCACCCAGTTCTTTAACGTTGAAAGGGAGTTGAGCGGGTTTCTCACATTTACATGAGGAAGAGAGTTTTCTACATTTTTTCATTTTTATTTAACATGAAAGAGAAACTTACAAGAGTGTCCGAGAGAGGCAGCAGCACATCAAACATGACATAAACCACAGATCAACACATCCCGAGTCTTAGATCATAAAGTTTTTATTCAAAGAATCTCCAACCTGAAGCATCGTCCTCCAACACCTTCAGTCTGCTTTTAAAAATATTTAAAGAGAGAGCAGCTCCTCCAGACACAGTTCCTTCTGCAGGAGAGTCCGAGCCTTTCCATCAGTGGTTCTCAACCAGTCGAGCCTCAGGACCCACTTACTTACTCCTTCATGAAAACTCAAGACCCAGATTTCTTATATTTTAAGATTTATGGAAAGACTCATGGTGTGACTTCATATCAAACACAGTGAGTGTGTTCGTCTTGATGTCGACTCTGAATCCATGCATCATTGATCATGACTGATACAGGCAGACGTGACTTCTAAATAAGCTTCAGATGTTTCCCTGTCTCCACGATAGAAGTGGCATAAAACGACATGCAGAAAAAAAGCAAAAATGCATCATGGTAGGAAATGTCATACATCATTATAGTGTTAAAATAAGTCGTGGGGTGCAGCCTGTGACCCACCGCGCCCCCCCCCCCCCCCCTTCCCACATGAAGGAAACATGCAGGTTATGTGAAATGTCCAAGTAGATGGACTTGTGCATGAGGGGGGGGTCGGAGTCCTGGGTGGACTAAAGTCATCTGTAGACATGTGTAGAACAGCGAGGATCTTCACTTTAGGGTTAGTTCTGCAAAGAGATCCAGAAATGATCTTTTTATGTCTCATCTTCAGATTATTCTTCTTTCTGCTAATTTTCTGTCAAGATTTTCAGATTTTGTGTTTGTTTTTTATTGTTTTGGTAGGTCCATGAAAAAAATCAACTTTTAAATGAAAATAAAAAGAGGAACGCTTTGGACAGCAAAGTGTCACACGAGACAAATAACTCACTTTATTTTAGATGGCATGTGACGGTGTTTCTACCTTTTGATTGCTGAAAAACTCATCTTTCATTTGGATATTTTTCCATCTTTTATCGTCGTCAGAATCAGAAATATTTTATTAAAGCTGGACGGGGATTCAGGTTGCTGTTATTAACTGTTGCACAGCCGGTTTAATTCATTCTGTTCCTTCAAAGGTTTAAATAATAAGGAGTGGAAAATAAATCTGGTATTGTAGAAAACTCTGGAGCACATTAACCACCTGAAATAGAATTCACCTCAGTCTTAAAATCTTGTACAGAAAAGGAAATCAAACCAGTGCTGTACCCACATTTAAATCTTAAATCTGTAATTTAAACTGGTTTATATCATCTGTATTGTCATATTGTTGTGCATGTATTTTAATGTTTCTTCATATCGTGCTATGTGGTTTTATGAGATCGTCTGTTGAAGGTTGTTTCCCAAAGGCCAAACGAGCCACGAGTTGGAAATCAGCAGAAGCTTTAAACTCTTTATGCAGCACTTCAGTTTCATGTGTGTATTGAAACTATGTTAAACTGCATGGCCCCTATTAAATAAATACATTCAAATAAAAAAAAGAAGAAAGCATGTTTCAGACTATGACCGCTACTGATGCTGTTATTATAAGGACATGAATAAGTATTTTAATCAACAGTAAGTTATGGGAAGACGTTAAGCTGCAGGAAAATGTGGCGCCGCCTCTTCATGGATTTATATCTCATCATATCAGAGTTCAGCAGAGGCGTTTAGTGAAAACAATGCTGACAGGGGGAAAGATTTACCTGTCGATGGGAAGTTTATTTGCCTCGAAGCGGCTGCCGTACACTCATGGATGCCCCCCCATTGTCTCCTGTATTTCAGGAGTAATCACAGTAAGACCATCGTGTTCTTCAACCTCTTGTTCACGGTCAAAACAGAGTGAAAACAAAAACTATGCACGCCCCACATTTACCGTTGTTCAGTCAGCCTGTCTACTGAGTCCAGGCAAGAAGACAAATCAAGGAAAACAAATGCCGAGAGAAGGTTAAAAATTCAACATCCTTTAATAAACAAAGTGTCTGATATTTACAGCAAAGCGTTCGATGAATGGCTAAAATTCGGTGACCCTCCTGAAGGAGCCCACGATGGCGCAGGTGGCACACCAGTCGCGGTACCTCCTGTACTCCCCGGACCTCAGGAAGTACTGCCGGCCTCGGTAGTTGGGGTACTCGTAGAAGATCCAGTAGCCGTTCATGACATTACAGGAGTACACGTGGCGGTGGTGGAAACGGTCGGACACACAGGGGCAGTCATCCATGAACTCCATCATGTGACCGCTGAAGTCGGGCTTCTCATAGATACGCAATCTGTAGGAGCCTCGATACTGCAGGACCGAGGAGAAGGTCGTTTTAGTCCCAACAATCCAAACACATTCACTCTACCAAATGCAGGAATATTATCTCTACATTAAATTATCCTTCTTCAAAATCGTCTGGTCCACTTACCACTGGGATCATCCTACACGAGCGGATGCAGCTGCTGAAGCCCATCCACCTTTGGTAGTCCGGGTACTCCCCCCTCCTCATGAAGTACTGGTGGCCCATGAAGTTGGGTCGCTCGTAGATCATGAAGCAACCGCTCTCCACCCGGATGGAGTTGCAGCGGCTGAAGTACGAGTGAAGGTCCGTGCAGTCGTTGCTGCACTCATAGCTCCGGCCCTGGAAGTTTTTGTCCTCGTAAAAGATAATCTGTCGGGGCGGATATAAAAGTGTCACTGCGTCAGAATTCAACATAAAACAAACTTTTTTTAGCTTTGGAACAACTTCAATTGAATGTCAGCAGAGAGAACAAACAGTACTCACCTTGCCCATGGTCTCCGTTGGAGAGATTCCCCATGTTTTCAGGGCTTTTTATACCGCCTCTCCACAAACAAAGTATTGTTATTCAAATCCTCTCGTAGCTATAATTGAAGGCTACTGGCACATGTTTACCTTTTTGTTGTGAGCCCAACATTGGGACAGAAATATGGATTTGTATTTGAAAAAAAAAGGGGGATAAATAATTAAGCGGTTTGGCGTTTTGACTTGCATGGACAAAGGAAAAGACTAGTATGGTATCCACACGTCCAGCTGACAATGGCTGCAGAACAATATGGAACAGCCCTTTACCATTAAATATGTTGAGTAACAGAGCAGGAAGCCATTCAGCCTCCCTAATGCTCCACCTGAGCAGCCCCGTGTGTGCTAATACACAGCGCTGGATGTTACGCTTTTATTCACATTATCGATGTTATCATCTCCATTATGAGTCACTTTAACGCTGCCGTGCGTTCCCTCGGCTGCACGGTGAGCTACATGATCTCTCAGCTGGGACTTAGTGGACTACAATTCCCTTGATGTGTCACAGCCATGTTGGACCTTTTGAAGACTCTCCGTCTTACTGCACGTTGTGAAATGAGTGTGTGGAGGGGCGAGGGGGAGGGGCTGGGGGGGTCTTCAGGTCGAGCAAATAAGGGTTAATCATTTATTTGATGACATCTCTGTTCTCCACAGTTTGTAGAAATGTTCACATACACACTCTGGGACACGTTTTGAGGTCGTTGGGCGGCTTGAGCTCGCTCTACAACATGTTAGCGGTTATATCATATAATACTAATGTGAATAAAATGTGACACATATAATCATCTCACCTTCACATCTGAGACTCTTTGGATTAAAACCTGTACACACTCAGAGGGTCTCTGGTTCAAACGATCATGGACATCATCCTTAAATGAATCACTTCTAAACGTTTTCATTTGTAAACGTGTCTTTGTGTTTAGATGTTTCTTCAGCTTCCATGTTTGAGTCCAGACCTTCGTCATCGTCTCAACTCATGAGACCTTTAAATGTAATCTGGTATCTGCTGTGTTTGATGTTATAAAGATACGTATGTTCATAGGAATCTTGTTAAAATGGATGAGCCGTGAAAATAAAGGAAAAATAACTCATTGGAAAACCTGAATGTGCATAAAACATCTGAAACATGAGAAATATCATCCTCTCTGGAGGTGAAGCGTGTGGAGATGTTTGTTTCTCACAGACACAAATCACCTGAATAATCAGACTTATAACTCAAGACACACTAAGTAAAAATCTGAATGTTATGACTGTTTGATGTCTCTAATAGAAAGAGTCGATCTTGTTTCCTCGCTGTGCATTTACAAAACGTGCGTGATCTCTTTTCTGTTTCGTTCTTTGGGATGGTTCATGTGTGCTGCCTCACTGGATCCATCCTGACTCCTCGTTTTCTCTACTTTGCTCATGTTTCTGACATAAATATGTTTGTGACATTCAGCTCAGGATTCTCCGTCTCTCTCTCTCTCTCTCTCTCTCTCTCTCTCTCTCTCTCTCTCTCTCTCTCTCTCTCTCTCTCTCTCTCTCTCTCTCTCACGCTGTGTTTGTGTTGTACACTAATCGTTGGGGTAAATTCTGCCACCGCAGACCAGCTAATCCAAATAAGGGGTCCCCAATGTGAAAGGGGGCAACTCTGGCATTGTTTGGCTCAGCATGCCAAAGCACTGGGGGGAAAGTATGAGATAGAAAATGTTTTTGCCTGCAGCCGCCAGACTGTTTTATTCTCCAATGTAAGAAAGAGTCTGTTCTCGTGAGGTGTTACAGAAGCTTTGTCCTGATTGTGAGTTTCTGAGGGAACAAAATGAGCAGAGAGCTGGAAGAGTAACACAGAACGAGGCATGTACGTTTTATGAAGCAGTGACATTTATTGGGAAATCAGTAGTTAAAATCTTGACGCCCGGCTCAGTTGGCGTCCGTGATTCTTCTGAGGGAGCCGACCCTCGGGCTGACTCCTCCCCAGTCGCTGTAGCGCCTGTACTCCCCGGGCCTCAGGTAGTACATCCGGCCTTTGTAGTTGGGCTGGTCGTACAGCAGCCAGTGGCCGTCCATCACGTTGCAGGAGTTGAAGTCGGAGGTGTTGAGGCGGTCCTGGATGTTCGGGGAGTCTTCCACCAGCTCGTGCATCTGGCCCGACATGTCGGGGCGTTCGTAGAGCCTCATCTTGTAAGAGCCTCGGTGCTGCAAAAGGGACGGAAAATCTTATTGTGTCAATAAAGATGTCGTCATGCAGAGATATTGCAGTTATACCTAAATTCTACTGACTCATAAAGTTTGATTTGTAACACAAAGAAGCATTTTAAAAGCATAAAATCTGAAGCAACCTAACAGGGCGAGTGTTTAGCTGATTCCTTCAGAGCACGCCCCAGACACAAAGTCCTCAGATCAGCAGCCCCAGGTCTGACTCAGACCCTCCCCTCTTTGGTGCATGTTTCCCCCTCTCTCTCCTCCCCCTGTTCATCCAGACTCTACCCCGATCAAATACATCCAAAGAAAGAACAAATCACGACTAACCTGAGGAATTAGCCTGCAAGACCGCACACAGTCGCTCATTCCAATCACTCGCTGGTTGTCGGAGTACTCTCCTCTTCTCAGGTAGTACTGGTTGCCCAAGTAGTTGGGCTTCTCGTACACCATGAAGCAGCCGCTCTCCACCCTGATGGAGTTACACCTGTTGAAGTAGGAGTGGAGGTCGGCGCAGTCGCTGTTGCACTCATGAGAGCGCCCTTGGAAGTTTCTGTCCTCGTAAAAAATGATCTGAAAGAGCAAATGTTTGCATAGAAGTGCAGTCATGTCTAGGAAATCTTGCAAGAGGTTAAAGTCTGCAGAATTATTTAAATGCAGGAGTAGTGAGAAGGTTTAATTTCCATTACCTTTCCCATGGTTATGTTGGCGTCAGACTGGATTAGCGCTCAGTGCTGTCCCAGAGCCAAGCCAGTGTGCTTTATAAAATAAAAGAAAGAAAGGACTCCTGTGTGATTGCACAGCATAAAGTATTGTCATTTAAATGTAACCTCGCAAAGTGATGATGGATCGGGTCGCTGCTGTGTGTGTGTGTGTGTGTGTGTGTGTGTGTGTGTGTGTGTGTGTGTGACATCTGTTTATGTGTAGACATGTGTGATGAGTTATTGTTCTTTCCTCCATGTTCATCAGAATCTAGTCCCAGAAAAAGCCTGCGAACAACAGACCGCAGCACGAGGAATCAGCCGGATGAAACTGATATTTAATAGAGCTAACACGTCATAATCGGCACAATCCATCAGGCAAAGAGATTTACTTCTTAAATCCTGAACAAACATAACTTCTGAGGTAGAATACAATATTACTTCACATCAATGATGTACACACATCAAGCTTAAGTCTACTGTGAGAGCCGAGAGCTTTCCTCCTTACAGTCCAGTGGACCCTAGAGTCTCCATGCTGTAATGCGTTCAAATCAAAGTGATGATCAGACATTAAGGAAACATGCTATGTTGAAGTGCTGGCTTCTCTGACAACAATGCAGCAGCCAGTATGTCCTCCTTCTAACTTTAGATTCTGGGCCTGAATGCTCTGGATTTGTTTGAACCAGAGAAGGTAGGTGTTTTAAGGAACCCCCACACGGCCATTTTGGACGCCCCTCGGTTTGTCAGATTTGAGAGCAGTTGTCAGGTCAAACCAACAGGTGTTGCAGCGATGGAAGCGGGTCAAGAGAACTGGTTCAGATAGAAGTGATTGTACCCGACCTAAAAAGCCTCTGCATGTTTCTAATAAGCTCCACGAGCAGAAACGGAAAAAACACTTTTAGTGGCATCATTTTTATCTGACACAGCATTCGCCTGCAGGGACGATGTTGGCGTCTTTGCAGCTGTTGGTTGAAGAAGCAGTTGCAGCCACTTAGACCTGAGAGCATGTAAAACTTGATGAAAACCTTTAATGGTCCCTCCTTTGACTCCATGCTCATATCTATGGAATAAACCATTCTCATGGCCATGAATATTCTAAAATATTTCCTGAACACCAAGATTTTGTCTAATTTTTAAAGGTCCAATCACCAAATATGAACAAAAACAGTTTTTGTCGCTGAGCCGCTGCACAGTTTGTTGTACTTTTTATAAACAGTCTTTAAGCTATTAATCGAGCATGAAGCTTTTCCAAAAACCTCCACTGAAACGGATCAATAGTCCATGACGCGTCTGATGGAGCCGACCCTGGCGGTCCTGCCGCCCCACGCACTGAACCTCTGGTACTCTCCGGGTCTGATCAGGTACATCCTGCCGCTGTAGTTTGGGTGTTCGTAGAAGAGCCAGTTACCCTCGGTGACGTTGCAGGAAAAGATGTCGTTAATGTGGAAGCGGTCCATGACGCTGGGACAGTCGTCCATCAGGTCCATCATCTGACCCCCGAACTCGATCCGCTGATACAGACGCACGTTGAACAAGCCGTGTTGCTGGTTCTGCAGGTGAGAGGGGGAGTATTCAGAAAAGCAGCCATGCATTGTTTTACCTGATCAAATCACCTCTGTGACTACATTCAGACTCACAGAGCTGCTAGCATGACTTTACAGTTTGACGTTTGATTTATCTAGAGTTCAGTTTTTATGTATTTGATCTTCAGATTTGATTAATTATGAGTCAAAGTAACAAACGTCAAAGGAAGAATGTACAACATGTTACTCGTAAATATCTCATACATCAAGTCTATCCTGTGTAAATGTGTCTCTGAGTCATAACTGTCTACAATGAGTGAGAAGCTCGAGTCCCGCTGGATGTGTTGTTGTCAGAGCCGTGTTTACATGGACGGGAAGGCTGGCTCCTCCCCTTGTGTATAAAAGCTGTTTTAGTCAATGACTAGAGAGAAGAAGAAGAACATACTCACTGATTATTTGGATGTTAGTAAGAGTTTTTAGATCATGCTCACTCTGTGTCAGTTTACATGCAATATGAAGCTACGAGCTAACTAAAGAGCGCTAACATTAGCATGCTAACACAACAATGCAGGACACAGGTGATTGCAGCTCAAACAAAGGACAATTTTGTCTGCTTCTTGCACTTCTTTTTGTTATTGTTTGATTGAGACCCCCATGGCGGCTGAATTTACTTCCTGTGCGTTAAGCTGATTCAGAAAGAGACTTACCTTTAAAAATATCTCTCTTCATTTTGTGTTTTAACAGCAGAAAAGAAGAAAAGATGCTTTATGTTCTTGGATCCTTTAAAGCAGTTATGAGAAGAGAATCACAAAGGGCTAAATGTTCATACCTGTAACCACATTAACACCTATAAAAGATGGTCTCTGTTATCTCGGGTTTGGTGCACAAGTTCTGCGTCTTTGCCGTAAAACAGAAGCTCACCGTGCAGATGAGGCGACAGGAGCAGACGAAGTCGTTGATGCCGGTCCAGTCGTGGAAGTCAGGATACTCCCCTCTCTTCAGGAAGTACTGGTTTCCATCAAAGCCGGGTTTCTCGTAGATCATGAAGCTGCCGCTCTCCACCCGGATGGAGTTACAGTGGATGAGGAAGCACCTCAGGTCGGGACAGTCATGGCTGCACTCAAAATGGCGCCCAGAGAAGTTCTTATCCTCGTAGAAGATTGCCTGGACATGAAAATTAAAGTGACTGTCTTCCACTTTCATTCATAGTTCTGCATAAATCTGAGAAATTAACACAACTATTTTGTGTTTTTTTGGCAAATTTTGGTTTTGGACAAAACTGACTCTCAATGATGCCCAAGAATCCAAAATAAAACCTTTTCACAATAAGAGCATTTTTAACCATAACAGAGCAAATGTCACAGGAGTGTGTGCTGTGAGCTGTGTAGTTTACCTTCCCCATGTCGGCCGCTGTGTCTGTCCCCCGGCCTTGCCCTGTGTGATCCGTGCGGCTCTTTGAAGACTCCCACCTGTCACATATATACTGAATGTGAAATGCAGACTCTGCACGTGTCATTCATATTGTAATGGTCAGGAATCTTTGGCGTTTGTGCTGCCGTGTTGTCCTGAAGAGGTGTTTAGGAGTTGTGTGTGCAGGTGAGACCCGGCAGGTTTTTTAAAAACTCTCTATCGTCACTGAACGGACGGTGAACTCTCTACAGCGCTGAACGGTTTCTGGACATTTGCTGGATTATTCCTGTCGTCTGGGCGGGTTTCCGTTTGAGTATCTGTTTTGTTTTTCAGTTATAAGCTTTTAGTTTTATTAATCTTTAAAGCGACAACATCACATGACCACTCTGCTCTCTTTTATCTGAACTCTCATTGGTGGGAAAATGGAAAAACTCCCAGTTTATGTGTCTTTATTAGTTTAAAACATCTCTTTTTTGTGCTCATAACAGTCAACTATTATTTATGAGCAAATTAAAAAATTAATCTCTTAAACTAATTGAGTAACAGCGTGGTGCTTCTGTGTGCAAATGCAAAGTGAGTCTCTTTAATGACAATAATGTGAATATTGTGATGTTTGGAGCTGCTTGATTTAACTCTGTGCCGCTGCCCTCTGGTGGGGAGATTAAATCATTTACAAATAAAAACTCAAACCCAGTAAAGGCAGCGTTCCTAAAGCAGTGAAGCACCTGCGGTAAAATGTCAGGAGTCATGACATGCTTCACATGTATTCCTTATTAAAGATCTGTCTTTATGGCTCAGGTGTTTATTTAAGTCTTCACCTTAAAACACACAGTTTAAGTTTCTTTTAAAGATTAATTTTTTGGCTTTTTGTAACTTTATTTTAGAGAGAACTGTGGATAGAGTCAGAAATCAAGGAGAGAGAGAGAGAGAGAGAGAGTCAGATCCAAACCCGGGCCACCGGCTTGGAGGACTACAGCCTCTGTACATGGGACATGCACACTAACCACTAGGCTACTGGCGCCCCAACAATTTAAGTTTCTTTCTCTCTCTCTGGAGGTGAAGATTATTTGATTCAGGTCATTAAAATACTTTTTTTTTTTTTTTACGTCTTTATTTTAGAGATAGGACGGCGGGCAGAGTCAGAGACCGAGGAGAGAGAGAGTGGGGAATGACATGTGGGAAAGGAGCCACAGGTCGGAATCGACCTGGGCCGCCCGATTTCTGACTCTGTCCACTGTCCTATACAGACAGAAACAGAAATGAAGCCTCAGAGGCATTTTCAAATTAAATTAAGTTGAGGTAAGAAGTTATTAAATAATTCAAGAAAATGTGAGTGAACTTTTAAGGTTAAGAGAGAGAGTCAGAAATCAGGGAGAGAGAGAGAGAGAGAGAGGAATGACGTGTGGGAAAGGAGCCACACGTCGGACTGAACCTGGGGCCGTCTGCTCTTAAGGGCTCCGGCCTCTGCACAGATTTCTTTTTTTAGAATAAGTGTGACAGGAAGAGTGAGGCATGCAGGACGACGTCCCGTCAGCTCCACAATAGATAACTCTTGACTCTCAGTCGTTCAGCGCTCGCAGTATTTTATTCAAGCCTCTCATGAGAGTCAGGATGTTGGTCCATGACCCGGTCACATCCTCAGGACAAAACATGCCCTCCAAACGCAGAGAGCAAGAACAAAACTGAAAACACTTGAGCACAGACGCCATTTTATTCAGCGTGTGAAACAGGCAAAGAGCAGACAGTGCGCCAGAACCGCGCCTCCGTCTTTAGAGATCCATGAGCCGCCTGATGGAGCCCACGCGCGAGTTGTTGCCATTCCACTCGCTGAAGCTCTTGTACTGGCCGGGCCTCAGGTAAAGTGGCGCCCTCTGTAGTTGGGCTGCTCGTACATGAGCCAGTGTCCGTCCATCACGTTGCAGGAGTTGAAGTTGTAGTTGTGGAAGCGCTCCATGAGGTTGGGACAGTCCTCCGTCAGCTCCATCATCTCACCTTCCATGTCGAAATGCTCGAACAGCCTCATCCTGTAGCCACCGCGGTGCTGCAAAAAGAAAATCTACAGTCAGAATCATCAATATTTTAATCAAGATAACAACATGCCATGAAAAGCAAATACTGAATTAGGATTCTTTTTCAAGAAATTGTTGACATTTTGTAGAAGAAAATCAGGGTTCAGACTTAAACTGACTTTAAAATCTTAACTGATTTTAAAAACGTTGGAGACCACAGACATGAGGACAGTCTCATCTGATTTTTAACAACATAATCCTCCAAACACATCTGCAGTGTGTAGTAATGATTTTACAAACACAGATCCCAAAGAAGCTCATGGGATCAAACACGACTTCAGAAGAAAAATAAATATGGAGGACGTTCAGCGTCGCCAGCTTGCTGTCCTGCCGTGTGTTTTTGTTTTGCAGAAAAAAACTGAAAACGAGAAAAACAATTCAGATGAAATCCTGGATGAGAAAATGGATTATGTGCTCGTACGTTCACATGTCCCGCAGACCGTATACCCGTACATATGACTCGGGCATAGTTCCCAAGATGTTTGGGTTCACACTGATCAAATGAACCGTACTATGGGGTCCGGGTCCCTAATGTGAAACCACCTGTTCCTGGTTTTGGATCTTATTCAGGATCTGTTGTTTAAATGCACCGATAGTGACCTGACTTGCTCCACCATCTTGTTGGAAAACCGGTGTCCTTTAGCCCGTGCACCACTGACTTGAACAGGTCAGCATTTTGATTCTCCATCTAAACTTCTAATTATGTTTAATTGTTTCATCCCAGCAAGAACAAAACTCAGTTTCTTGGTCGCTCCAGAAGTAAGCTGGTCTTGTTCCTGCCGCCATGTTTGTTCTGCTGGTTGGTCACTTGGCTGAGGCGGCGCCTGTGCTCTGCAGCTCTCAGAAACCGGGGTAAGTCGTAGCCATGCCTCAGTATTTGGTTTTCTTTCAAAGTTTTCCACGTAGGAAAATCAGGTTTCTGCAAATCATGATAAAGGCTTATCCTGGTTTCTGGGATCAGGATGTGATGCACCAACAAAAACGGGATATTTTGAAAACCTGATCAAAACCAGGATCCTCAACTCCATTTAACATATTTTGTAAGTGATACGTTTGACTGTTTAAAAAAAGCAGGGGAAATGTTTGCATGCACAGGACTAAATCATCTAAGAGATAAGAGGTTTGTCCACAGGGGGCGCCAAAAACAACACAATTTAAAGTTGCTTAAAGGTGTTTGACTGACGAACTCTTGGACAAGCATGTGAGAAAATCCCCCCTGCCTTTAATGAGGCAACCTGTACTGTGAAAAACAAATCGAAGCTATCACGAGAAGTGGATCAGCTTAGCTAAGCAGACAGACGGAAACAGGAGAAAACAGCTTGCAGAAATAAGTCAGTCTAAAGGTTAAAAAAATCCCTGTAGCACCTGTGACTTCTAACAAAGACTGTAAATATTAATGGGCGAAGCCTGAGTGATGTCACTTGTCTGTTCCTGCAGGGGGCGCTGGAGTCCCATTGATGGCGGTCTCCATGCTGGAAATGCTGTCTCAGCCTAACTTTCAGTCAACTTAACGACAGACTGAGAGCTGGAGCTGAGGCGGGTTTTAAGCCTTCTGACAAACCGTCACACCGTGCCGCCTGTCGATCAGGTCAGCTACACGCCTTATTGTGAATAACTCTTATCCTTCATCAAATCAAAACTGATGAGTCATCAAAACATTCACCCCCCCCGTACAGTGTGTGTCATTCGAGACATGAGCTAATCAGACCTATTTTTTTTTTTTAACCAGGCTGTAAACATGTTAATCTCTGCTGTAAAAACAGGCTTTTTAGAATGGGTTTGTATGTGACTTCCTGTGCTTCTGCAGCCAGCCTCTAGTGGACACTCGAGGAACTGCAGGATTTTACACTTCAGCATTGGCTTCATTTTTCAACACCAGAGGTTTCTGCTTGGGGGCTTAGTAAACCCTTGATAGTTCGGTTGTGTAGGTTTCTTCATATAGCCTATTAGTTGAATTTAAAGTCGGCCTTACCAAGGGGATCATCCGACAGGAGCGCACACAGTCATTCAGGCCTGTCATGCCCATGTAGTCAGAGTACTCCCCCCTCCTCATGAAGTACTGGTTCCCAGTGTAGCTGGGCCGGTCGTAGATCATGAACATGCCGCTCTCCACCCGGATGGAGCGGCAGCGGTCAAACATGGAGTGAAGGTCAGCGCAGTCACTCATGCACTCATAGTGACGGCCCTGGAAGTTTCTGTCCTCGTAAAAGATGATCTACAGAGCAGGAAAAATAATGTTTTACTTCACAAACACCACAGAGAGGTTTTCATGTTTTAAAGCTGAACTGAAAAGTGCACTACAGGTCTCATTTATGCAGGGGCTCGTGTTTGAAATAGTTTAAATGATGAATCTGGACACAAACCTTCCCCATTATGTCTGCTGCTGTCGGTCAAATCCTCTGTTTTTTTCCTCTGAACTCAAAAGATGGAGTCCATGTTTTTATACATTCCTGCGTGTTTGTAGGTGCTGCCCTGTGGTTTTGTTGTTATTTAAATGAGGCCTGGAGTCTTCCTGCTCCTGATTGTCGTGTCCTCTGCTCTGTCAGAGGTAACAGACACTGAACAGCTTCTAGCACAAGCCACAGCATGAACAGCTGCTGGAACAGTCAGGCACACCTGATGGCTGGGCCCCTGAAAGGCTCAGTGAATGGGCCCTCCCAGGATGGGATTGAAGTCAACGCATACGTTAGCCTCTTGGCTAACATTAGCTCCCTCTGCCTGGCTCCCATCAGCCTTTGGAGCTGATTCAAATAAGTTTGATAACTAGTGCTCCTTGAGGTCAAATGCCCAATCCTGCTCCCTCCGTTTCTTCTTCTTTCTCTTCTGGTGAAAGTTCACCGGGCCGGCTTACATCAGTAACATTACAAAATAAAAAAAATAATAAAAAAAATATATCATTTTCAGAAGAGAGGGTTTATAACTCTAAACAGGCTCTACATTACTGACGCATCAATAAATAAAATGTGTGTTACTGTTGCTTTAAGAGGTAAGCGTGTTGAACATTTAGGTATAAAATAAAATGTTACTTACTTAAATAAAACTTACTTACTTACTTTAAATGTCTTCACTTTTGAATCATACATTCGGTTTTAATGTTGGTCCGAATCTCAGCCTGATCGAGTGTTGTTGGTGTACACTAGGGCTGGTTAAAAATATCGATTCATTGGTGCATCACAATTATTATTTTCCCAATTCAATATCGATTCAGGGAAATCATGAGATCCTGAGATCTTTTTGTAATGACGGCCCTTGCCACTGGGGGCACTGTGGGTGCTGTGAATTCAGGTCAGGAACAATTGTGCACTTTACATATAGTTTTGGTCCTTTACAGCACTGTTATGTTTATTATAATTTTGCTGCAAATTCAGCTCAGGGCACTTGAGATCATTCTGTACTTTCATGTTTTATTATTTGTTTATTAAAGAATGATGCAACGATAAAATACTTTCAGTTTGTTCTAAACCTTTACAAACAATGCACAAATAATTATTTAACAAATATCGGAAGGTACTGTTATGAGTTATCTGGGTGTTCATGTCATCTGTATTTATGATTAAATCAATATTGAAGCATATTGATCGATATCGAATCGTGACCCAAATAATTTTATTTTTTTTAATTTTTAATTGTGAGATTGTGGACGATACCCAGCTATAGTGTACACTTAAATCTACATTGGTGTTTCACGCTGCTGATTCATGTAATGCTCCGTCTATAGGAATCCTCCAGAAACACACGTTGTACAAAGATAAGTATGTGAACATTTACGTTCACGATGCAGCAGGTTGTGTACGAGTACACACAGTTCATTATAAATATATTTGAGTCTTTAGCTGACTTTTGAGGTTTGTCATGAATTGAATTCTTTTTTTTTATAAAACAGTTTGTTAAGTCATTTAAAACAAAACATTTATTCAGAAGCACAGAGAGAATAGTTTACATTGGATTATTTTATTTAATGACTTAAAACACGATGTGCGCTGTCCATCATCTCCAAATCAATCAATCCATCCCACGTGACACTTCATTTTATTAATATCACCAGTTTTTACAAATACTCTTTGTTGATTTCTTTCTAATGTAAATAAAAATCAGCAGAATCAGAGTTAAGATTTAGAAATCTGTGATTCTGCGGAACGATCCGGTGGTGGCACACGTGGCCCCCCAGTCACTGAACTTGCGGTACTCTCCGGGCTTCATGAAGAACTGGCGGCCGCGGTAGCTTGGGTGCTCATAGAGCGTCCAGTAACCCTCCATCACGTTGCAGGAGTAGATGTCACGGCTGCGGAAATGGTCCTGCACCGACTCGCAGTCATCGCTGAACTCCATCATCTGACCCTGGAAGTTTGGACGCTCGTAGATGCGCATGCGATAAGGGCCCTCGCTGGGCTGCAGGGAAACAGGAAACAGTCAAAAACAGTCATGTCTACACAATTTATTTAATATGAGGGCGTGCTATGACCTTTGTACTTGTCTATAGGGGAACAAAAACGGGGATTATACGTCTGGGGAAAGCCATGGTACACAAGTGAAATCATGTCATCCGTTTAAGATTTCTTAAGCACGATTAATCACTAAATTTCTAAAGTTAAATCACAATAAATCTAATTTTAATATCATGTTTTTAAATTCCTTGATTTCACATTAAAAAATAAAAATTGTAAGGCTTTTATTTTGAATTTTTTTACAGTTGCAAGCTGAGAGGGTTTTGCTTGCTGTTTGAGCTTTTATTTTGAAAGAAGAGAGGACCTTCCTTTAGATCGAAGGTTACAACATTACCAAGGATGAATTAGAGAGGACAGCTGAAGAGAGACAGGAAACTTAGGGAGGAGAGAGTGGGGGGTGACATGCGGGAAAGAGCCGAGGTTGGATTCAAACAGAGGGCTGCTGCGACAAGGACTATAGCCGCGGTACGAGGGGCACGCGTCATAACCGCTAGGCCATCTAGTAGCACGTTTGTTTCATTTGAAGTCTGTTTCTGTGGTTGCATTTGTTATGGAATTTCTGAATGATGAAAGAGTAGCTTTCCTCGGTAACCCAACATTTTGACGATGCATTCCCACTAATTAAAGATAGTTTTGGCTACTCTCTTCATCTATCAAATCCCACATCACAATAACCTGATCTAGATATACCGACTCACATAGGAGAAGGTACGGCAGGAGCGGATGCTGTCGTTGTAGCCCATCCAGCGTTGGTAGTCCGGGTACTCTCCCCTGGTCAGGACGTACTGGTAGCCGGTGTAGTTTGGCTTCTCGTACAGCACCCAGCAGCCGCTCTCCACCTTGATGGAGTTGCAGCGGCTGAAGTGGGGGTGCATGTCAGGGCAGTCGGTGTCGCACTCTAAGTAGCGGCCCTGGAAGTTTCTTTCCTCGTAGAATGTGATCTGAAGAGACGGAGAGAGGTTGAACTGTGACAGTGCATGATAGCATGTTAGGTAAATACATATACTTTTCATGCATTGAACCTTATTTTAAGGTGCTGAGGTGCCCTTGACCAAGACATTGAACCCGCAAAAGCTCTGGCACGCTACCTATTGAAGCCCCACTCTGACATCTCTCCTGCATGTCCTGTTTGTGTATATGTGTGTGAGAAGTAAGTCTCTAATTAACCCAAATTTCCTCTCTGGGATTATTTAAAGGCCTGCTCCACTTTTCTGAAAATGTGTGCTCAAACAGGCTGTTTGGAGATTTTCCCTTCATGACATCACAAAGGGCAGTAACCCCTCCCCCAGGTGGGTGACACTCCCACAGCTAGGTGTTAGTTCTGCCCTCTGAGTCTACCTTCTCACCGTAAACAATAGGACATGGAGCGAGAAAGCCCGAGACACCCAAGCCCTTCCAGAGAGGGGCGTGGTCAAACACAGCTCATTTACATTTAAAGGTACAGACACAGACACAGGGTACAGGTAACAGCCTATTCTGAGCAGGGCTGAAATAGAGAGGTTTACAGACATGATCAAATACAGGATCAGAGTTGATTTAGAACAAGAAACTTCACACATGTTTTTAGGAGCTCTGAGAATTATTTAAACTGATTGAAGAGGAGGAGAATATGTCACCTTTAAGTGTTTCAAATTTAAAAAGTTTAAACAGTTATTTTTTCAGTAAATATTTCATTCAGACCCAGAGTCAGGTTTATTGCCAAGTAGGCTTACACATGCAAAAGTGCAAAAACAATAAACATGGCAGTAGAGAGCTGCTAACTCTAACTGTTGAGGAACTTAAACAGAATAAGAATATCAAGAAAAACAATAAAATACTAAATCTGTACAACGGCTGTGAGAAACAAAGTACTCTGCTAATTTATGGTGAAAAAAAACCGCTTAATTGTGAGAAAAAAAAAGGTGCAACAGTATTAATATAATCAATTCTGTGAGGACCACAAATGATAACAATTTCATTTTATCAGTTTTCTTGTTTTATAACTCCCCGCTTACAGATTTCCTCTCAATTAAAGTCAGAAAAAACAACAAACAATGGTTAAAAATCGTATTTGTTTTACGTTTGAACCAGTTTTTCTTGCACCGATTGTCTCTGGTCGAGTGCTAGTTTAAAACCCAAAGCATAATTAGGATTTCGGAGCTGAAGTATCTTTGTTCAACTACCTTTTCCAAAGAAATATGTAGTTTTTTAAAGTAGGGCTCTTGTCGGTTTGGCTCTTTCTTACCTTACTCATCCTGCAAGTTGCTGCTGGAGCCGCTCACCCAAGGGAAATCGATGGTTTCACAAAGCAGGACCAAAGCCCCTCTATATAAACCTCAATCAAAGGGTTAGCAGATCCCACTTTGGCTGTATTTTCAATGAGCGGGGATTTAACGTCGCTGTCATCGCTGCCAAAAGTCTTGATCCTGGGCATAGAGGGAGGAAAAACCCCTGAATCATCAACGCAAAAGTCCTAGCAGGCAAATTACTGAACCGCAGTGCCCTTTTTTTATTGATATGGACATTTGATTCACTAATCCTTCATCAAGTGGATAAATCTTTGTACGCAGAATGAAACAGGTCATCACAAAACAACACACTTTTTTTTTTTACCAGCTGTCGAATCTGAAACAGTTGTCATTTAAAATCCAGCAAAATGAAGTTTCTCTGAATTAAACAAAGGGGAATCAGCCATGAAGCTACATTTGGGCCTTGAGTTCTTCCTTTTTTAATTTATTTTCTTGGCAGGGGGAGGGGGGGTTAGCTTGGGAAGTCTAACATCTTTAAACGTCATCCTTAAATCTGGAGTACCTCAGGGCACTGTAATGGGACCTTTGGATTTTTGAATTGAGCCAGGTGTTACGTCGTCGTTCTTCTCAATCTGTTCAGAAGAGCTCTCTCAGAATGCTCCGTTTTGCTGTGTGTGTCTGTTATGATAATGCGTTAGGAGGATTCACTTCAGTGTCTTTAGCGGTAGGTGTGGTTGGTAGGAGGAGAAGCAGGATCAGTATTGACGACACACCTGAGGGGGGTGTGGTGGCTCTGTCTCTGTAACCTTCATTAGCAGCACCTGCTGAGGAGCCAGCGGAAATTAGTTTTGAGTTGAAGAGACGCCACGAGGGAGATGCGAGGACGCAGACACCTGAGAGACTGAATCTGAAGTAACGTTTGTTTTTGTTTCAACACTTGACAGGTTTTTTTTGCACATGAACTAAACTGATATGAAAGATAGGGCTGGCGGAGGAGATCGTACCCAAGTGACTCTGTCGATCGGGCTGTCAGAGTAAGCTGGTCGTGGCACGTACGAGGATCTTTGTGGTGAGTCACCTACAAGCACCCCTCAAACAGACAGGACAGTTGCACACACATTCAGGTAAGGCAGGATACATCTTCATGTTTACGCAACACGTAAGGAGAGGTATTAAGTTACGGGCTCACTGGCCTTAGAGTCAGGCTCAAAGATAGCATTTAGCTGTGGGTTTGTGTAGCAGCATAACAGTGTCTCTTTAAATGCAATGACCCCCCCCCTGAGTTTTCCCCGTAGACATCACTCCTTGGCTAGCGAAAATAAAAATGGCAGATCTGTGCAAAGGTTTTACTCTAGGCTGGGGGTGGAGTCCATGGGTGGAGATACGAGGGGAGGATAGGGGATTTTTTTTACCAGAGTCCCACTGTGACATCACAAGGAGGGCACATTTGAAATGGAACATTTTTCTCTGTGTTGTAAGACTTATGCAGACCACAAACAAAGTACTGGATAGGTTTATTTCACATGTTGTGGGTCAGAAGACAAAAACACTGTAGAGGTGGATTTTTCATAATATATTCCCTTTAAAACTTTAACTGATCACCTAAAATTTAATGTAAATTACAATTTAAATTTAAGAAAATTTGGATTTGACGCCAGCACCACAAAAATGTTGGGACATGGCCGTGTTTTCTTTCAACGTCTCGGCGGTCCTGTCTTAGTTTGAAAGGCGTTACTGATGTATTTTTTTTTACCTAAGAAATGTCTCAGTTTCAGCATTTGATATGCTGTCTTTGTGCTATTTTCAAATAAAAATGACACACACAAGACCACACTAACCGAGACCAAGACATGATTTGCAAATCATTGACATTTTACACAACGTCCAAACTTTTGAGGGTTTTATAATTCATACACTTTTTCCCCTCAGTCGGCAGATTTAAAGTCATATAACAAAGTGCAGGAAGAGGACTTCAGTCACGCAGAGACTCGAGTGAACCCTCGTAGTGCTCAGTCCTCTCCTGTCGGTCATCATTGCTGTCCTGAGAGAGAGTCAGAGGAGAGACATTAGTGAGGAACATGTGATGTCTGTTTATGACCACAGGGTGGCACTACAGTGCATGTAGTCAACAAAGATATAGTTCTGAAAGCTCCCCTCTTCTTTTCTCTGGAATAATCTAGATATAAAATAAATAAATCAGAGATAAGGACGCTCGCTGTGTCTACTCACACTGAGGAAGGAGTGAGATGAGGAGGAGGGTGAGGAAGACTGCACTGGAACTCGTCTAGGTGGAGCATTAGCTTTCATTCTCTCAGACAGCCATCTTTTCAGCTTTAAACCTTTAACAGATTTTAAAACAGAAAGCAGTGTTGTAGTCAAGACCACACTTACCGAGACAAGAGTGATCCGAGACAAAAACAAGACCAAGACCATAAATATCTCTGAAAAATCCTCATCTTGTGTTTAGGGGCGTGTCACTCACTTCGATTGGGTTGAAGGTTGCGGTCGTAATCGGGGGATAAAAATCAAACTACAAATTAATTGAAGTTATTTGTTTATTTCTAATCTCAGTAATGACGAGGAAAAAGTAGCAGATCAGTGGTGGTCTTGACCGGTCTTAAATCAAAATCAGGAGTCCGCCCAGTCCAAGACCGGGACAAGACCAAGTAAAAATGCTTTTGATTCTGAGACGAGAGGGAGACCTTCAAGAAGTGGGCTTGAGACCAAGAATGATTTCAAGTACAACGACACTAACAGAAAATAACCGACGTGGTTTTTAGAGCAGTGGTTTTTTTTTTTAAAACATTCTTATGCATCTTGAAACATCTGAAATAAATATCATAAGTATCTGTCTGTCATAATTATCTAAAAATACAACATAAATTGGGAACCACAGATAAAAGATGACTCTGATTATTGTAGACACACTTACTGTGCTTCTTGGAGTGATGCACGGCCTTGTAAGAGCCGAGCATGGCCAACGGGTGGTAGGATAACGTGAAGGGGTGGACGAGCGCACCCTAAGGTTGGAAAAAAGAGGCGGGAGTGGCTTTAGTGGAAACCACATCAGGCACAATAACACACACTCACACACACAGGGTCTGTTTCTGCAGAGGAGAGTGAAATATCAGCCAGGGTCCTCGTACCTTGGAGTGCTGGTTGGGGTAAGAAGCAGCAGGTTTGCACCTGTACAGCGCCAAGATTTCCTCCACTGGAAGGCTGCTCTGAAGGCGGGAAAAAAGGGTCAAAGGTTGGAAAAAGTCAAACCGGTTTAACCAGTAAACACATTCTGAGTTGAGATTAAAGACCACGCTCTTTATGTGCATGTTTGGAATGGAAAAGATGGGAATCTGATGGGGAGGCAGAGTTATGAGAGGTCGTACGCTGTGGAGAAAAGACAGTGTTTAAAGAGTTTTTTTGAGTGTCCGAAGATGAGGCATTCGATTGTCTAAAGAGCTGGGTGTTCCAGAGGGAAGGGGACTGTGACGCTGAAGGCCCCGCCTCCATAGGTGAGGAGTCTGGTGTGTGGTATGGACAGCAGGCCAGTGTCCAAAGACCGCAGGTTTCAGGATGTGGTGTGTGGGAGGTCGGAGGTCAGAGAGGTACTGAGGGACGAGGGCACGGAGGGTTTTGTAAATGAGGAGGAGCATTTTGTGTTTGAAGCAGGATTTATTGGGAGCTGGTGGAGGGGGGAGAGGGTTGGGGTGATGTGCTGCCAGGGCTGAACACAAGGAGGTGTAAGACCGACAGCTAATTCTACCAATACTAAACCTTGTGTATAAAACGTGGACACTCACCATAATAATCCCAGCAAATGATGACAGGATCATTGCCTCGCGCTCCAAACGATTAGGATACTGGGCCATTCCTGAGCCGCTTGTTGCCCCGCTGTAGGTGTGAAGAGGATTGAGTTCATTTTAAACATCATGGAAACCTGGGGGGGCCTAATATTTAAAGGTCACATATTATGCAAAACACACTTCACCATGTTTCTCTAACTCAGGCAGGGCTGAAATAGAGGGGTTTATAGGCATTATCAAGTACAGGATCAGAGTGGATTTAGAATAAGAAACTTCACACATGTTTTGAGGAGCTCTGAGACTTATTTAAACTGGTTGATGAGGAGGAGAATATGTGAACTTTAAAGCAGAAATGCTTTCAGTGGTTCTCATTAGGAGAACTAAAAGTAGCTGAAAATGTGGATCACAAAAACAAAAGCTCCTTTATTCCGATGTGTGGATTTTTTAAGTTTCTTAGGTCGGCCTTTTTCTCTTGAGGAGATGTTCGGTTTAAATCTTTCAAACCTTTCAAATATAACTCTGATTTAAAAACATGCTTATAAAGGGGAAACGTAACAAAGAGATTAACGACAAATTATGCAAGAGTATAAACTCAATTAATAAAACCTCAGTGAGTTATGTAAGACGATTAGGACGGAACTACCAGAGGGGAGTTTGGCTACCTGCCTGCAGCTCGACCAATAAACTGACCAGGAGGGATTTTAGTTGAGTGTTTGATCTGAACATTCCCGGTGTTCACTGAAAGACTAAAAGATTGTGTTTCAAAACATGTACCCATCCCATGGTCAGTGGTACCTTAAGTCTTTGAACACACAGGCTGCTTACATGATGTCTCTGTCGAACACATCCCGTCCCTCCTCTTTCTCCAGCCACCACAGAGCGACGCTGATGGCCAGGTCGTAGTGAGCCTGTAACATGGACACAAATCAAGTTGTCATCTATCTTCCGTTAACATGTCATCCCATGCTTTTTTTTTACCAAATCATCCAGCACGGTGGAGGTCCCCTTCCCCTTTGGGTCAAAGGACTTCTCTCTCAGTTTCTGTCCGATGTAGTCCCCGCTGAGGGGAAAGGAAAGAATAAATACACCTGATGCCATCTTAAGTCATTGCTCTTAAATCTACAATCACTACGTTCTTTATGTTGGACTCACATGAGGGCTTCGACTTCTCTTTTCAGCTGCCTCGCCTCCATTTTCTGATCAGAATACTTTCAAGCAGAACTCCTGGAAAAACAGGACGACATCCCAATACAGTATCATCTGCATAACGTGGAGGGTGAATAAAAAGGATCTACTGGCAGCAGGGAGCGCTGGCATGCTTCCTCTTCCTCGTCTCCCCATTTAGAGTTGAATCCTTGTTCTGAGATTTTTCAGAGAAACCTGGTTCTCCATCGTTTCTGTGTTTGTGACAGTTTGTGGTTTTTCTAATAATTTATGTTGAATTAATCTTGATTTCTCACCATCTCAGCAGCTCGTCTGTACCAACAAAGACGGAGCAAACACTGAATTACGTGTTTATCTTACAATACTCCATTCTTGTGGATTTCTTCAGGTGGCATATTCTGGATACTTCAAAACAACAACCATAACCTGGATATTTGTGTGAAATCAAGTGTGTTAAGTATTCTTTTTCCTATATATATATATTTTTTTTTCCTATCTTTTTCTGTACAGTGTGTGTCGATCGAGACATGAGCTAATCAGACCTATTTGGGTTTTTTGAACCAGGCTGTAAACATGTTAATCTCTGCTGTAAAAACAGGATTTTTAGAATTTTTTTTCCTGTGCTTCTCCAGCCAGTCTCTAGTGGACACACGAGGAACTGCAGTATTTTACACTTCAGCATCGGCTTAATTTTTCCGGAGGTTGCTGCTTGGTTCATATACTTGATTTCTATTACATTTAAGTGTGAAAAATCGCATATAAAGTCTTTAAGCAACTAAAACAAGAAATGCTCCAATGTTGGCTCTCTAGGACTTCTATTTTGGTTGTTGTTTTAAAATAGGTATCAATTTAGTTTGATTTTTACTAGAATCCGAGTTTTAAATCCTGGTATCGTGACAACCCTAGACCTAGGTAAATACCTTGTAGTGGTAGATAGTTATGGTTTCTGAAGCAGGTATTTACACCACTGGTCGCCACCTGAGCGCCAGATAGTGAATCTAAAACCTGAAACCAGGATACAGTGTTTACCTGCAGAACAAATAACAAGGATACTTCAAAAACATAACCAGGTTCATTGTGTTCATGAAAACAGAGTCATGGCTTAATCTACTGCTGAGGATGCAGGAGATAAACCTGATCCTCTGTCGGACCTCACAGAGACCTACCAACATGTCGACCTAACATGCAGAGAAAGTCTAGTTCACCTATTAACAAATTCTCTAAGAACAACTCAAAGTCCTGGGTGCAAATGAAGCAAAACTGAATCCATCTTTAATGTAAAATGTCAGTTTAATTAATAAAAACAATATTTAAGTCAACATGCTGTACTCACCACTAAACTCTGCTAACCGACCCCAGCCCTCCAGTTTTCATGATGACACTAAACTCTGTACAGCCGTCTGCCGTCATGCTACACCAACGCAGCGACCTTTGTGAGGAGTCTTTAACGGGGGGCAGACTTCTCAGGTGAACAGTCTGCGCTGAATTATTAATGAGCAAACTTCCCGTCATCACTGACACACATTACCAACCAGAACACATGTTCTGTTTGCAGAACACACGTTCATTACGTCTACATGTCAGTGAACATGTTTGGATAAAAGTACAATACCGAAACAAAAAACAGATTAAGAAAAATAAAAACAATCAGTCCACATTAACAGACTTTTCCCGCGCTGCTTTGTTTCCAGTCTTCTTCTGTCTCTTCTTCTTCCCCTCCTTAAACACCGGAGAGCTCAGAAACATGCTGTCCGTGAATTTATCTCCGCGCCTGATTTTGCTGTAAAAAAATAAATAATAATGATCACTTCCTGCTTTAATTGAACCTGAAACAAAGATGCTACCACTGATCAGTTACAACGAGAAGTCCTCACCTGTTGAGGGTCGGTTCTTTGTAGCTGACGACACCATTTCGTCTCCTGGTTCTGCCTCCTGCTTCACCGTCTGGAGTTGAGATGGTGTTGGTCAGTGTTGTTAAGACTCCACTTGCTGCAAAAACACACATAAGTTGAGCTCTTAAAGGTCACATATTCTCTTCCTCTTCTTCAACCAGAGAGGGTCTCAGATCTCCCCAAAACATGTCTTGTTGAAGTCTTGTTGAACATGAAGTTTCTTGTTCTAAATCTACTCTGATCCTGTATTTGATCATGCCTATGAACCCCTCTATTTCAGCCCTGCTCAGAACAGGCTGTTTCTGTGTCTGTACCTTTAAATATGTAAATGAGCTGTGTCTGACCACGCCCCCTCTTTGGAAGGGCTTGGGTGTCTCGGTCTTTATCGCTCCATGCCCTATTGTTTATGGTGAGAAGGCAGACTCAGAGGTTCAGAACAAACACCTAGCTGTGGGAGTGCCACCCACCTGGGGGAGGGGTTACTGCCGTTTGTGATGTCATGAAGGGAAAATCTCCAAACGGCCTTTTGAGCACACACTTTCTGAAAAGTGGAGCAGGCAAAAGATGGAGAGGATGGACTTAATTCTCATCACTGGCGAGTTTGTCGACGGACAAGAGACACATTTTAGAGTTAGAGGAACATGCTGAAGTGCATTTAGAATAATATGTGACCTTTAAATTAAATCCAGCCCAACAAGAGGAATGAATAAAATATGCTCTTTACACAGTTTGAAGACTTAATATGTGTAATTTCTAAAATAGAACACTTCCTATTCAAGATGTCCCGCCAACTTTAACAAACTGATGTGAATGTATTGTGGAGTAAGGAGGGGAGGGGAGAGCTAAGGGAAGTAGGAGGCGTGTCCAAAGACAGCACCTGTTTTGTTCTGAATATCTGCTCTGAAAGTCGCACAGGAAGCTTTTATGTATTCACTTAAATCAGTTTTAAACTTGTTAACAGAAAAAAATGATAACATTGACTTAGTTAGTTAGTTCCAACACAGCTTGTTCCTCCCAGTGAACAAATGCCTTAACTGGTGGCATTAATCAAAAGATCAATTCAGGCTTTGGCCTGTTGGTTGGTGCGTACCCCCATACTTTCCTGCATGCCATTTCTCACTTTCTCTCTACGGATTTCTGACTCTATATACACTTTCCTATCTGTACAATAAAAGCATAAAAAGCCCCAAAATAAAAAACCTTAAAAGATCAAGTCAGGACATTTCATAAAAGAAAAAACAAATGTTGCAATAGAAGACCCGCCATCTTCACTGGAGTTTGACCTTTAACCTTTACCAGGTAATTATTAAATAAATAAAAGACAAATTAGAGGACGTCCCACCTGACGAGGCTTCAGTTGTGACAGCAGCAGACTCCTCGATCACTGCCGGCCTGCTCGACGTCTCCCTCCTGGGGGTCGCAGGTAAAGAGCCGGCTTCAGAGTCAGCATGGCTGACATCGATGTGCATCCACGGAGGCATCTCATCTGTCAGCAGGTCTCCCACATCTTGACGACCTGCCGCTCCTCTGCTGTCCACCATGTGACTGTAATCTGACAAATTAGATGTCCTGAAGTCGTTCAGTGAGACGTCGTCTTTGTTTGTGCCTCCATAGACGACAAACGTCTCCCTCAGATTTCTGGTCTGTGTGGGTCTCTTCAGCTTGGACGTCTTCCTCTTCTGTTTTGGGTTTGATTCCTTCTTGGATTTGTCAGGTGTCAGAGAAAATAAATATGCAAAGAGTTCGTCTTTTTCGCTAATGTAAGAATGTGGGTCAACAACTTGTAATTCATCTAGTTGGTGTTGATTTATTTCAGCGTCGTCAACATCATTGAGAGGAGAGGCAGATCTAAACCCTGTGTTGTTATGGCGACCTTTGGTCTTCTGCTTCCTGTTAATTAAACTTTCAACACACTCCTCCCTCTGCACAGTTTTCTTTTTACTGGACCCATTCGTTTCTTCTCTCCTTGCTTTTTTAGGTTTCTGAAACTCAGTTTCTGAAGAACATTCTGGGTCCAGCTGTGGTGCATCGTGGTTTTCTTTGCCAGTCGAATCCTCTTGTGGGCTTCCTGAATCCTGAGTGGCCAGCCAGGGACGCTTACATGAGCTGGGTGTTGTCTGGACACATGCACCATCACTTTCACTGTGTGGACTTGATCCTGAATGTTGCATAACAGCGGCTCCTTCTGCCTCACAGATGGAGGATCCTGCAGAAGGCATCACGTCGTGCTCTGCGACATGACTTCTGGGGAAGCTCTGCTCAATAACATGCTCTCCCTGGCGACTGAGATCACAAACGTCCCCCTGCATTTTGGTTTGTGACTTCCTGCAGAATTTGTCCTGACTTCATTTCTCTGTACTTCATTTACCAAATGTCCAGAACTAGGAAGTGCAACCTCATCAGCACAGAACAGGAATTCTTCAGGTAGTTCATGGTCTTTGGATGCTTTATATTTTCTCTCGATCACTTCTTCCATTTCATTTTGGATTTTTTCAAATTCTGACTTTCTGATCTCACTTTCACGCAATGGCAAAGTCACAAAAGGCGTTCTGGTGAATGTGGACATCCTCCTGCCTTTTGTCCTGGACCTCCTGCATGTGATTTTAGGCCACGCCTCCTCTGCGGTATCGTCCTCTGGTGCTAGTTTAGACTCTCTCTGGCTTTTGAGAGTCTAAAATCAGGGTCCATGAAATAATCGTCCACGTCTGGTGGGGCAGTATCAACAGAGTCTCTTTTGGACTTGGGGGTGTCATTGGATTTTAATTTCTTCTTCGCCTTCTTCGAGTTGTTGCCAGCCTCAGACTTGCTCAGTTTGGGAATGCGAGAGGTGGTGACACTCGTACTCTGTGATTTGGGTGACTGAGACTCTGTAACCTCCGGGTCTTTAATACTCTCTGGTGCGTGGTCATCTGTAGAACCAGTAGGAGAACTCTGAGCCGCACTCACTTAGAATCTGCAGAGCTCTTCACTTGTGGATTTTCCCCCACATTTGACCCTGAGGCTTGTTCCTTCTTTTTCGGCCTGCCAACACGTCTTGTCTTCTTAGCCTTAGTTTCCACGGTGACTATCTCAACAGAATTACTCAGCGTCATGTCCATTGTCGCATTCAGAAGAACTGTATTCTCCTGTTTTTTGCCAGTTTCTGATTCTGGTTCAATGACTGAGCTACTTGGAGGGGGAACATTGTCGGAGAGAGATGGCTTGGGTTTTCATTAGACTTGAAGCTGAGGGGGTTTGACTGTTCTGAGGGCAGGGGACAGACTTCATGTCAAACCCAGATTGAGAGATTTTCCTTGAAAGCCGATCTACTTCCTCCATTAGGCTGCAGGACGGACGAGACAGTCCCATCCCAGGAACTAGTTTGTGCTGGCTTGAACGCCTTCTCTCTGAAGTTTTCTCTGCAATAATTTGATAAAAATTAAAATTATTTCCAGCAAACTTTTTATGAAAATCTCAGTGGGCAACAATAATTTATGATAAAAAAGACTTTTCAGGTGCTTACCTTTGCAAACATTGGAGGGCGGTGGCAGTCTGCTCTGGATATTGAAGGCATCTGCACAGGTTTTTGTTTCAGGCAAATCTGCTGTGATTTTTTGGAGGGGACACGGCAAGGGCTCGAGAGCTTCAGGCTGGGGAGGTAACTGATCTGTAGGACTAATAATCAGAGTTGGGAGGAGGGTGAGGGACAGGATGAAAGAAAAAAACAGAATGAATTCAAAGCTGCAGAGACCTCAAAGACATGTTATTAGTTCAAAGTCCAAATCAATCTGAACACAGTATTCCTCACCTTTCCATTTCAAGATGTTCTCTGTCAAAGTCGCCTGATGAGATATTTGTTTCCTCCGACAGTTTAGGAAGATCCTGCAGGTAAATCATACAAATAAAATCACAGATAATGTCAGGCGTAGTTTGATAAATAGGTATCCTCGACTTCCGTTTGGTTCAGAGTTCTCAACTCAAAATAACATCACTGAGATAATAGTGTGCGTCTTTCAAGTACAATTGTGCCCTTAATGTTCATCTCTAGGTAACACACAAAAAGAGAAAATGTTTGAGTGGAAATACGTCTTACACCATCAGAGAACAAGTCAGCCACCATGTCCAGGTGCTGTCGAGTGTTGCTGTGGAGGTTTTTCAAGATGAGGAGCTGTGAGAGAAAAAAAAACTTCAGTCAATCAATTCAAAAAGGGAAATTCTGAGATAGTTTGTCTGTTAAAACAAATGTGCACGGTCAGAAATAACAGCCTTCTAAACAACTACTACCACGATAAATAGGGCATGAATAATGTTATGAAAGGTTAAAGAGAGTGCTGGTTAAAATAAATATATAGATAAGCCATTCATGAGTGAGTGTGGGCACAAAGATTGACTTGGCTTTCTTCATCCTGCAGGTGAGTGATATGAACCTGTAGCCTGAGGGTAGGAGGTTTGTAGAGAGAAGTGTGTGAGCGTGCGGTGTGTGAGCGTGCGGTGTGTGAGCGTGCGGTGTCTGTGTGTGTGTGTGTGTGTGTGTGTGTGTGTGTGTGTGTGTGTGTGTGTGTGAGGTGTGTGTGTGTGTGTGTGTGTGTGTGTGTGTGTGTGTGTGTGTGTGTGTGTGTGTGTGTGTGTGTATTTGAGGCTAGGTATTGTCCCTTTAGTTTTGTCCTCCTTTATGAAATGCAAATTAGAGGTTCCTGCTCCTGTCCGATTATTTTACTGCTCATCGTTATGATCCTGTTTTTCTAGGAGCAGTAAAATAATAAGCAGTAACCTACTTAATGTAAACTAAACTCTGAGTGTTGATATTTTCAAACAACAAACCAACCAGTTTCCTGTGCTTGTACTTCTTTGCGGCTAACTCAAAGCACAGAGCCTCCACTTGTTTCTGAAGGAACATGATGTCTTTCTCCAGCTGCCGGCTCCGCTCCTTCTGCATCTCCAGAGCAACAGCCAGGGCCTTGTTGTTCTTCTTCAGAGACACCTTGAAGAAGGAAGACGTGTCTGGTGCAGCAACAAAGAAGAATAACAGAATTCCCATGTGTTTGCTCGTTCAGAAAATATATGAGGACTGCACAAATGTATTAAATGGTTTGAAAAAGTGTGTCAGACTCACTGAGAAGCTTATTTTTGATCTTCGATGCTGCAGCTGAAGACTGCTTGGAGGACGTGATGGGTGTCATTGTCCGCACAGGTAACATGATCAGGTGTTATGAAGGGCTGTGTGATTAAATAATTTGTTAAAGCAAAACACGGGACTTTGTACAACAGTGTTTTTAGCACAAGGAGCATGACGTCACAAGTACGGAAAGGGAGTCAGTTTGTCATGTATGTGTCTGTCTGTCTTTTATCTATCTATGTTACATTTTAGGCATGAAACTGGAGGTTTTAGACACTTTGAGCATTTCCTTTTTTGAGCATAACTAAGCTGACGATTTTTTTAATTTAACGTTAGCCAGCCAACCGACATCTGTACTATCTTAATCACTAACCGGGTGGTGTAAAGTAGCACATTACATTCAAAATTAGGACAAAACTTACCGTTAACAAACTTCAACAAGCGGGAGACTTCGCGTCTTGCTAATAAAAGCCCTTATCGATGATAAACGAACGCTAATAATGTCTTTAATAGTTTAAAATATGTCGTGGGTAAAATGCTACTCGTTCCATTTTAAATATAAACAGAAAGTCCGCCGCTGTACAGCGCATGCGCGTCCCAGGAGCTGAGGGCCAATCGGGATGGCGATTAAAAGTCTCCCTGCGCTAAGTCTTTCAGGCAGAAGTTGTCTATTCTGAAGCCGTTGCCTCCAAAACTCAGCTATCCATTTGTTTTTGGATAATTGTTAGTTCAACTATGAATGACTCTATTTAAAAGTAGGACTCGAATTTTCCTCACGATGGGGATAGTGATAAGTATGTGCGTTTATAGCCTCTGAACCTGTGAGTTAATACGTAGGGAAACAGAATTAACAGGCAGTGAGTCGTTACAGTTGCTCTTACAAAAGATATAGCAGCAGAAATATCGGAATATAATTTTAAATAGGAATAAAACAAGAAATGTCAATAAGAAATAAGCAACAGTACAACAAGAAAGAGTGTTGAAGAAAAGCACAAACAATTGAAAATAAAGCAGTATATACAAAATCGCAGACTAAGATAGGCTATTACAAGAGAATAACTGCTCAGTAGTCTCAGTATATAGTAGGCTATATGTATGGAAACTTCAATTGCAGGGAAATTCCTTCTATGTTTACACATGCTTGGAAAAAAAAAACATTTTAGAGTGAAATGTTGTGTTTTACAGCCACATATGTTCTTTGTGCCATCCTTCATGATAACAAGTTGTTAAAAGTTCCTTCTCTTTATGTTTGAATTTCATGTTTATAAAATATAAAAGGTACGTGTAAAATCAAACCTTTATATTTTCACAAAGGTGGTCAGACTAAATCCACTTTTCTTTCAAACTAAACACATTTATAACCTCTATAGTTATATGTTTTGTTTTTGTTTTACTCTTGGGACTGTGACACGCTCTGAAACACACCAGACTTCATGGTAATTATGTCAGCTTGTCCATGAGTAAATAAAGAGCTTGTTGTGGTCAGACAGTGTGTCTGATTCTTGGCATTTAGTGAACGAATTGCATCCTTATGGCCTGACACAGATATGCAGATGTACTGGAAATATTGCATGGATTATTTTTATCTTGGTTTGTTTGTGTTTGTGTTGACTATGGCTGAAGAGGCCTACTACATTTGTTTACACAGCAGTTGACATATGTCTCTTTCAGATCAAATTATTAATTTCTAACTGTAAACAGGGAAAAAACCTGGAAAACCTGAAAAGCAGTTGACCCATTTTTCAGTCATGGAAAGCACATGGAAATAAAAGGAAACACGGCATGTCCTGGAGATTTTTTTTTATTTTGAGTAGGGCGCTACTTTTGTTGGCTCTAAATTTTTACGTAGAAGAAAACAAGAGGAAGGATTAGGTTATAAATGTCCAAATCATCATTGTAACTTGCTTATATTGATTTGATTAATTAAGTACTATATATCGGCATGTGTATTTGCATTATTGTGATCAATTCGTCATAATTTAAAAGCATGTAAGAGTTCCTAGTTTGAGCCAAATACTTTTTTGAATCAGATATCCAGAGCAATGAACATAATGGTGTTTGTTCATACCATCTACATTGTCACAGATTATGTCCTGGTAAATGATCTCCAGAAAACAGTGGGAACCCTGTTTAAATTACCTGAAATACAGCCTCCTATCATAAGAATAAAGTTTATTTGATCGATATTTCTGAGTGTGACCTCTGCTGCCTTCTTTGTCTTGATCACAACAGTTGGATTGAGTGCGGTTATCGATTCGTCAGGGCTGCCTGACTACGGGAGTCGGCTTTATTCTGTCTTCGATGTTGGACTGCTTCATACATTGATGCCAAATTCAAATAGTGGACGGGTAATTTTTAATTTTTCGCTGTCGTAACAGTTCAATCACATTTCCTGTGTCAACTGTTCCCAGATTAAAGTTGTAGCTAGCTAGTATAGGAGGCTAACTGTGGATAGCTTGGCTAAATACAGCTGTCTTACTGTACATTTCGTCAAACTAGTTTGCTAACGGTCTGAAATCCTTACTACATGTACTAGGTGGGGTTGTTAGATCTCAAAGAGTTCATTTGATTGGAAATGACAATGGGAAGCAGCTGATATTTTGATAGAATAGAAATGTCAAAGAAATTGACGAGGTAGCTAAGATGCCGGTGTTGCGTGTGAAAGAGTGACCGTGTTAACTGGTGACTTCAGCCGAATCCGCCTGTGGTTGTCGTAGTTACAACAGCTGTTATAAACGGAAAGAGTCCTCTAAGGTGTCTCTTCAAACGTCAAAACATATTAATGAGATGTGTCTTTGATGAAATACTAAATTCAGAGGGATTTGCGGGTTGTTTTTTTTTCGTTTTCAAAGCGCATTCGGCTTGTGGTCGCCAGTTAACACGGGCACTGGTTCCACCGATACACCTGACGTTACAGTTGATAGCTAGCGTACAAGTCAGCTGCTCTGGTTGAGTAAAGCAATGGCAACTGACTTGACTATTGAATTTATAGGGGATTGAAAATGAGACCGGAGTGATAGTAAACATCAGCTTGTGTACACATCTGAGTGATATCCGGTGTGATCAGGTGGAGGGCTCGGTCACGCCACGGCCTGTTATGATCACATGATGAGGTGGGGAATGCGATTCCGCTACTTCCTCTATTTCTTCAGCACTTCATCTGAGATGGCATGCGTAGCAAACACAAGCGATCTGTTGCTTTTTTTTTTTTTTGAAAGGGAAAGTCCAGAGAAGCTTTGAAGTACACATAATTAATAGTGAATAATAAGAAAGCGAGGTTGACTTCCGGCTCCTGGATAACCTTATCAGCCGACTTTCACTAACCAGTCACCTGATCATCTGCTGGGTTTCTTCTGTCGGACGACCCAGTGACAGGTTCATAATGAGATACTTCCGACTTCTCTTGTGGGAGCAAGTGTGTGTGTTTTTAAAGAAAACATGTTAAACCTTTTCTTTTCCTGGTTAGGGAGGACTGAAGAGTCAGAATCACAGAAAATAATCTCTCAGTTTCCTTCCTGCTTCACTGTTTTTTTCTGGCCCAGATCTCCATTGACAGATGAAGTTAGAAAAACATCGTGGGAAATTCTCCTTTTACTTAGGATCCATCAAAAACTAAAAGTTGAGCAAACTCAACAATTCTATAATTCATTCAGGGCACGTTTTATCCAAAGCGATGTACATCAGAGAAGAGCAACACAAGCTAGGATCTAGAGAGGAGGAAACAACGTCAGCAAGTGCAAACAAACAGCTTTAAGTCTGATCGGACATGCAGGAAGTGACCAGAGGCAGAGCACAGGTGCTGACAGGAAATGACCAGAGGTTCTGACCGGAAGTGAATAGAGGCAGAGCACAAAATCAACAGTTGCTCTTCAGAGCTCTAATCGTCGTCAGAACCATCCTAAATATCGTCATCATCATCATTAAGGTCGTAGGTGTTCATAAAGAGCTGTGTCTTCAGTTTTCTCTTAAAGGTGCAAAGTGACGCTGAAGATCGAATGGAGTTTGTTAGTTCTTCCCACCAACCCTGTTGTGAAGGTTGGATCAGACATCTTTCATTGGCAGAGCGTAGTGGACAGGAGAGAGTTTACACTGTCTGTTTTGTACTAAACGTTGGCAGCGACGTATTTGACATGAAGTTTGTTGATTTTAGGGCGCTTCTTTCTATCTGTCGTCTGGTTCTTTTAATGCTTATTTGTCGGCCTTTTAGTTGCCTCTGTGAATGACTTGGTGTATCTTTGTGAATCAGGGGTTCCCCTCAGTGATCTCTTGAGTAGAAATAAAGGTGGATTGATCGATTAATAATAAAGTTTAGCTGCACAGTTAAGCTGTTTCTGGAAATGCAACTTCGGTGCTGAGAACTTTAAGAGAGTGTTAACAGCTCTGAGGTTTTCTAACACAGTTATTACACGTCTGTGCTCATAGGTGAATGTCTACAGGGTCACTTGTAGTTTATAATCTATTTGTGTTTTAAAATGAGCTGTAAAGAAAGCACAGAAGCTGTTGACAGATTGACTGATCCTGCTGCGCACATCATCATGTTTCCCTGCTGTGAGAGAAACTGTCATCATCTCATTACGGGGAATCAGTTACACATGCTTATGATCTTTTCTCTCCCTTCCCGTTACAGGACCAGCAGTGAGATGGCTGCTGACGACAAGTCCTCGCCTTCATCCTCGACGGACTGGAGCGTCGAGCCGCCTGTCCTCTCGCCGGCCAGCCCCTCCCACTTGACCCAGTTCAAACCACTGACCCCGGAGCAGGATGATCCTCCCCTCCGCTCCGCGTACAGCTCATTCGTCAACCTGTTTCGATTCAACAACAAAGGTCAGAGAGCAAACTCCGTCATCGGTGACGTGCTTTGAGTGTGGGCTAGAGCACACAAGAGGTAGAGAGAGAGAGCAGGGAGACAGGGAGGCTGTGATTGGTTCATCAGATTGGTACCTCGTGGCAGACATTGGTCGAAGTTTTTACAGGCTCACAACTGATACAGATGACGGATTTTCTTGGTTCCTTTTTCAGAGCACATGAGTTATTAATTTCTGTCAGGACCTAAAGACAATTTACACCAAAATCTTAAAAAGTGGATCTGGAGGAAATTACTAACTCTGCCTTTAAGCTGCCGATGAACGATGTCCCTCACCCTGAATGAATACATGTTAATAATTGAAAGGGCAGCGTTCTGTTTGATGACCTTGTTTGGAGAAAGCTTACTGATTTATTAACTGTAAATGTAAAAGGCAGAAAGAATCACATCCAGGTCCAACAGTTTGGTACAAACGAGCAGCGTTCCTCATCCGTTCACAGAAGTCAGAGGAACAAACCTCGGCCTTGTGAAGTCATGTGATAAAGTCTTTCTGCCTGGAGCCGTGCCAGGAATCAGCAGGCCACATGACGTGTGTGTTTATCCCCCCCCTCTTTGTGGCAGCATTGGTCTCACACTGGTGTGTCTGTCAGTTATTCAACTGACGTCGTCGTAGTGCGTCGAAACGTTAGTCCTTTGCACCAAAATAAATGTGTGTGATGTGATCAGTATCAGAATTGGACCTGATTTTTTTTGTGTGTGTGTGTGTGTGTGTGTGTGTGTGTG